ATTTGCTCTAATGGTGTTTGTAAATAGGATATCATGTCCGCATCTTGTACAGCAATTAGCCACTAGGAAGAATGTATGCAGTGTGTTAGTTATTGAAACTGTCCTACCAATTTGGTTTGAAACTGTCTCATTGCTATTTGTTTATCAATACAATTATGGGAAAAAATAAAAAAAATGTGGGCTACATTTAACAAATTTAAAATTCTATTTCCTATGGCCTAGCAATGTCACTTTTAGGGATGTACCCTAAGTGATTTCTTATAAAGTTATATGCCAGCGTATTTTTTCTGTGATATCACACAAGTACAGCTTGTAACAGCAAAGCAAAAATCTAAAAACAAATGCAATGTTCATTACAGAGAGAAAAGGAACTGAGTTGTGCTGCTTGTGCAGCGACAGACTGTGTGGTGCTCGGCTGACCTTTTACACTAAATGGGTGAATTTGAAAAAGTCAGTGCTGCTTTTTATGTGTCTCAGGGAGATGTATGCAGTGTGATTAGGGTTATATAACATTTAAAAGCAGGCAAAACCACAAAACATGTTTCTTTTTTAAAGGAATTAAATGGTTACATAGGAAAGCTCTTTAAATAATGAAATGACTCATGCCATGTAGAAACTCAGGGTGTAAACAAGAGTATGTAAGGGAGGCACCTACAGAACTTCAGAGGTTCTGTTCTGCTTGTTTGTTTTATTCAGTGTACACATACATTCTTTTCTATAAAACTAGCAGGAAAATATTCCATAACAAAGACTGGGCAGAGGAAGACAAGCCATGAAATTAAATTCAAATATCATGGCCCAGGAGTAGAAGGAGAAACACGAAAGCTGTGGTTGTAGACGCAATCAGGAGGGGACTATCAGCGCTGGCAACTGTCACTAAGCAATGTGGGCAGAAGTGATGTGCAGCGAGTGGAGCCAAGAGCACCGGGTGGCTGGGGGTTCTGATGACAGCGCATCCACAGATAGAGCCAGAGTGGCAGCCAGAGGCAATGAGGAGCAGAAACAGCATGGAACCCAAACAGCTCTTTAAATCATTTCATCAGCAGATGCAAACAAAAAGACAGATTATAAAAAGACAGATTTGCTCAGACTATAATCTGAGTAAAAGGCACATTTGAAAGCTATTTAGAAATATTTTGTTAGAGAACATAATCCACACTAGACCATGCACAAAGATATCAACATGTTTAAACAGAAATTTACTGGTAGGAAAAAATGCAACATTATTTCAGGAAAGTCTTCTGCATAATCTTTGAATTAAGTCATTTTTAGCAATATTTCAAATAAGTGTTCCATGGAGTTTCTAAAATTCTCTCAAAAGAGGTTATCTCAATTTCTGATTCGTCTAATAGCCTTTATAGAGCTGCTTAATCATCTTTCAGTGTTCTTGCTCATTTTTAATAAGTTTGAGTTGCACCAATCTGAATCGTAACGTTAAAATGTGTCACATTTGCATTGAAAACAATCATCAGTGACGCTGTCGACTTAGTCTTTCCCTTTCCATGTTAAGTAATTTTGTCATCACAGTTTTATGTAGACAAAATGTAACAACTGAGTGAAATCATTAAATGTATGGATACTCTTCCCTGACCATGTATGTGAAGGTTCTGCTAAGGAAAGCATGTTAATCTCACAATTACAAAACATGCCACACACCTGGAGTTTCCTATAAAAAAGGTGGTGTGTCTAAGTGAGAGCCAGCAGTAGGAATGTTGTCACTGACTTTGACAGTGACTTCTGTCTCAGCAGAGAAGGGCAGCAAGGAGGTGGGCAGCTACCATTTATTTTAATGACAGGCCAAACTTTCAAGCTGTAACAACATGCTCAATAAATCCTTCCATTACTGTGCTACCAGAGGAGAGCTGGAAAATGTATTACATTTCTATTTTTTTCTTCTCAGAGATATGTATTTTTGCTCCGTTTCTATAGTAACACTGACGCAGTGACTAAAATTTTAACTCCTTTTTAGGCTCCCCGATGGCTTCACGCAGCTTCTAAACTTGACCCAGCTCTACCTGAACGACGCCTTCCTTGAATTTCTTCCAGCCAATTTCGGAAGGTAAGAATGAGAAATGTAAGGTGTACAATTTTATTCACCTTCAGCACGTGCTTTCCCAGCACTGTTGGATAAGGATGAGGCTTCAGAAGTGACAGGTGTGATTAAAGCTAGGCCCCATGATGATTCAACAAAGAATCCTGGTAATGCTGCAATAAAGTTTACTTCCGCAAAAGTGAAGTAAAATTAGGTTCTCACGTAACAAGCACAAACAAATAAATTCTAGATGAACTAAAGAATTACATAGCAAAAAAAGTAAAACCACAGATGATGGCTTGGGTGAAATTCTTTTGAATATGTATGTCCCTAAATTGTGAAATGCCTTTATAAGCAGAGAATCAAAAGAGAAAATTAAAAATCAGCAGCACTTGGGTACTCTTAAAGTAAAATAAGGAAATAAAGCATTTAATGTAAAACCATAAATTAGGAAGCTATTTTCAAATTACGTACAGCCATAACCTATAAAGAATTTTTACAAATATGAAAACAAAGATATCGAGGAAAATTGAAAAATGAGATGAAAAGGCAGTTCATAGTGAAACAGAATGGCCAATGGACACGTGAAAACAGTTACCTTCAAAAAGGGTTAGCGTGACACGAGTGAAATCCACAGCAAGAGTCTGTGTTCGGGTCTACGGGGAAGCTGTTCCGAGGGCGGAAGGGCAGTGCTAGGCTCCCATTCTGCCCCCTGCACGGCAGTGTTTCGACCTTCATGCACGCAGCGTGCTTTCAAAGCTTTGAAAACCCTCACAGCCTTCGTGATGCATTTCACAAAATACCTCATGCCATCTCCAGATATCGCATAGCATTTGTAGATAAGCATATTTATCATTACTGACAAAGTGAAACAGTGGAACCGCACCTGTGTAGGAAGTTGGATAAATAGATGATTCATCCGCATGATAATACTATGCGGCAGTTAATAGTCTTACACCAGGAAAAAAATTTTTTTAGTTCTTATGATGATTTAAATCTAGGGATGTACTCTAACGAAATATATACACCACCTTTTTAATGTGAATATTCATGAGACCATTAACTGGGTATGCTGCGGTGAGATTATGGGTGTCCTGTTTGCAGCCTTCCCAATGCTGGGATTACAGGTGTGCGCCACCAGCCCGGTCTCGGTGGCCAACTCAGCGCATGGTGGAAGGGCTGGCGCGCATGTGGCGCTAGGGATCGAACCCCGGGCATGCACTTGCCTAAGCAGGCACTGCACACAGGATTTTAGACGAGCATTTTCTTGACTTCTAAATGAACTGGAAGTTCACCGCCCAAGAAAGCAGCCCTGTCCTTCTTACAGACCAACGCTATTATATACTTGTGAGCTATTGGATTATTAAATATTTGTCAGCCTAATTTTGAATTTTTGACCTGGATTTTTGTGAGGTCCCTTTAATTCACAGATTTCCAACCTTTCAGCTTGTCTAGGTCACACTGAGCAAAGAAGAACTATATTGGGCTGAATGGAAAATATATAATATAGTGTATGTAGGCAACAAAGCTTCTTTTATAATTTAACGTATGAAATTATTTTGTGAAATAGCACAAGCTGAAGTTTAAATAAGTAACAAGACTTTCATGTGCAGCTAATGATGCTAAACTCGTGCTTTCACAGGCGCACGCACGAGGCTAGGTTGGAGTGTGATCAGGGGTGCTTGTGCGCGTTTCTCGCTACATCACGCAAATGTGTGTCCCACCTGAGGCCTTGATATAACTGTGGGGGCTGGCAAGGGAGGCGGCTGGCACTGCCTTGCACCCGGACGTGCCCAGGCCACAGTCCAGTCCCACGCAAAGGAGTCATGAATTTTACCACTAAAACGACACAATAACCTGAACAGCCTGCGATCGCTGGGCGCGCACCGCTCGCTGTCCAGGACCACGTGTGGGTCGCACCTGCCGTGCACGTGCTTTACGTCATCCCAAATTAAAGACGAGATGTGACCAAGCAGAAAGCGCAAGACCAACGCTGACCCACATCGCTTGGAATTCAAATTTGAGTTCTGTGTAAACCGACCCCCAAAATATCGTCTATTTTATATTAGAATTTAAAAAGGGTTTTTTTAAATCTTCATTTGGGTAGTTTGACAAAAGTATATTTAATCATCCTTCCAAAACCTAGGATTCTGTACTCCTAAAATCTAGTATCCATTTCAGAATATCATCATGCTTAAGGAAGATTTGAGCCATATGTTTAAGAAATCTCTTTTACTAGCAATATGTTCATCCACTGAAGAATTATTTCATGTGCATACAGAGTTATATGATTAACATTAAATCAGAAGCTTCGTAGGAAGCAGAAAAATAAAAGTGGAAAGAGATCTAGATTAATACTAAAAGCACTATACATACAGGAGATTATAGATGAAATACTTAAATAGTAAACCACTCCAAAAACGTTAAGAATAGAGAATCTAGTTCCTATCTGTTCTGCACTAGCTTCATCTGAGTACCTTATAAAAAGCTGTTTAGACGTGAATAACAAGTGCATGTCCCAGATTTGTCTCAGCAGCCAGGTCTGAGATGCGTCCCTGAGGACAAATGTCCCTGAAGCAACAGGAGCTCTGAGCACCTCTTAGCTTGGGCGTGGCTTTCAACTCGAACATTGTCGAGGGCCGATTATGCCCCAGATTGGCCAGTGAAAACTGTGGTTTTTCCACCTTGTTCGGAAATGTGAAAGCGTACGCCTTAGAGTCGGTGCCGCAGAGCATGCTACACCATTTTCCCAGCGTGTGATTAATGGAAGGAGTAATTACCAATAACTTACGGGAACTGATTGATGATGTGCTCTGGATGCCTTTCGTGTATTCCATCCTATGAATTTGGTACTCTCATCAGCCACATGTAGAAAAGAAAACTGAAATTAGAAGGGGTCAGTTAACTTGCAGGGTCGCACACAGAATATGGAAGTCTAAATTTTTGCGCAAATCTATTGCACCACGAGGTCCAAGTTCTTTACCTCCGTACGACTCTGTTTACTTTTCAAGTTATAGTTCTGGAAGGAAAGCATTGCTAAGTCTTGGTGAATGCAGCAGCTATTATTGACTACGTATTCAGTGATTTGGTGAATGCACAAAATTAAATCTAACAGTGAATGCATTTGTATAAAACACTAGAAATTGAAAAGGCCTGGGATTCAAGCATGTCATTGACCTATCTTTATTTTTGCAAAAGGGATTTGCCACTTCCCAGAGTTGCTGTAACGCTATTTATCATCAATCTGCATGTCTCTTTAAGATCTGTAAACACAGGAAAAATACTTGATCAGAGTTATTTGGATAGCAATAATTCACTTTACCATATGAATATTTTATACGGGAACAAAATTAATTTTGAAAAAATTCTTTTCTATAGACTTGTCAAATTGCGGATCTTGGAGTTAAGAGAAAATCACTTGAAAACTCTACCAAAGTAAGTGGTTGAATAGTTTCTAAACTTCGAGTTGTGGCTTTTTGATAGGAGGGAGAAGAGCTACTTTTACCTTGGCTGTTTTGCCATTTTGACTGATTTATTCTATAATTTCTTCTTAAAGGTCAAAAAAGTAAAGTAAACTGTATGAGAGCCATATTAAGTAAGAATGCACTCTGTCTAAAGACTATAATAACAAATAAAAGCTGCATAAGACCATTTAAGATTTTTCTTGTAGCTCAAGATATGTGCCAAGAAATTATTCCACTAAAATTTATGGATTTGTCATTTTATGACTGAAAAATAACAATTTTACAAAGTTCAGCCTACAAAGATGCTTAATTCTGTGAGATAATTTATGGATTGTGATTTTTCAGCTTCTAAATCAAGAATATGCCAGGAGTTTTAGAAAAAAAGATGAAAAATTTCCAACAGATTCTGAAGTGATTTAGTAGAACAGAAAATGTTATATTTATATAATCTTACAAACTGTTTCCTTGTACTATTTTATTTAAAGTTTGATTCATATAAATACACAGGGCATTGAAAAGTGACAACTAATCTCTCAAATGTTATGCATTAATATAATAAAATACTTTGTTGCATTCCACTTTATTCATGTCTAACAATAGAATTTTCTGTTGTACGGAAGTAATTATTGTTGAATGTCAAGAATTATTTCCAATGGATTTTTACTTTACTCAAATAAATCAACATGACTTATATGCTACATTTAAAATATAATTCTATGTTAACTCTTCCTTCAGTATTATAGAAAAATATTGAGCATAGTCATTGGTTTCTCAAGTATTTTAATAACGCACATTTCTGCCGAACCGAAACTTCTTTTTATATTTTTAAATCCTTTTTGTAAGCAAATGAGACTGAATAACATATTCATTTAAAAAATGGATATATTGATAAGATACCTTCAACTGCACCTCAGATATGCTGAGACGTGTGAAACGCAGTGATAGCTACCTCGTGGCATAATGATGAGCGTAACTTTCCACAGCAATGTGAATTCCACACACAGGGCGTACCTGTGCTTTCCTTAGTGAGTGGCGGTTCAGGAGAGAGTGCCCAAAGGGAAAAGAGGCTCCATACTCAGCACGCTGCCCTCATGAGGAACGCCTTCCTCTAGCTGAGGCGTCATCCCCGGCCCCAAGCCGAGGCACTTCCTGCTTTGGGGGCGTGGGAACATGTTGACAGTCTTGCCTCTTCTTGTATGAATCTCCTGCAAACGCAGGCAGTGCCCCGCTTCCAGCCTGAATGCTTTCATCTTCCACATTTTCAAGTGACAACAGGGCTAAGTGGAAGCTAAATGAAGATGAAGGAGCAGTTCTTCCCATTTACCTAAATGTATATGTTTATGTCAAGGAAAAAATATTGAGTATACAGGAGATGAGTGTGCTGCTCTAAAACATTGGCTTGGATTTGAAATATACAACAAACCTGACCTTAATTGCAGGATTTTTTCATATGTACTTTAAAATAAAATTTTAGAATAAAGTAAACCTGTTGTAGATTGATAATTTCATAAGAAATAGCTGTGTGGATCATACAGCATAGTGAGCTAAAGTTCTTATCAATGTGCAGGGTATTCTGTAGGATTTGGGACTGTAATCCACTATCAAATAAAATTAAATAAGTAGAATAACATCCATGAGCTATTTTTGGAATAGCTAAACATTGTAAAAATCTATTAGAAGGGACACTGGATCTTCTTGGTGTCTACCAAGACACTATATGTGTATATCTTGTGTAGCTGTTACAACTTCTCCATTTTAAGAATCATTTTACAGTCATTTGCAATCCAGGGTGTTCATTTTATACCTTATCAACAAAAATCTAAAGTACCAAGTACAGACATAAAATATAGAGAGCTTTATTTTAGTTTCAGTACCTAAGGAATGAGAAGTACTGAAAACAGTTCTAGAATAAAAATAAAATCCATTAAATGTTCTACGTTTTGATCACCAAGGTAGACTTGTAACCTAGAGATATGTGAGCGCTTTCTACTTGTCTTTATTTTCTACTCCAGTGAAAATAAAGGTAAAGATATAGTTTTCGGAGAACCAATTTTAGTTTTATACTAACTACCCCAGGAAGCGATAACTTGTGATTTCCGCGGGGGCACAAACAAGATGCCGAGTCCTTGGTGGGTCATCAGTAGCTTTCGAATCTTTTCACCCCGTGTCTTGAAGCCTATCTGCCTGGTGGCAATGTATGCAAAGTGTAAAATATGTGAGAATCACGACATAGGTGCATTTGGATGCATTTTCGCTAGTAGATGCATACAGCTACCTTGATGTGAGCCGAAGCCAAGATACAAGCAGGAGTTACGGCTGTGTGTGTCGTACGAGAGTCTGTTGTGGTCACCCCTCTCGCACATCTGAGAACTACAGAACTGGAAGCGGAGCCTTGAGGTTTCATGGGAGAGCTTTTTCCCCATAGTGAAAACAGTGAGTCCTAACTGTGATTTTAGAAGAACAGCCAGCACCCATGAGGATGGTAACTGCAGAGCCCTGGAATGTTGAAGGCCGAAGGCCGAGCCCAACCCTGGGTTGCTGGTTGTTTGTATTCACATATGCATGTGTTTCTTTGTGCACTGCTTCCTTCGCTCGCTTCTTGAAAGGTGTGTGAGGTTCAGGGATTGGGAAGAGCCTGGATTCTGGATGGCTGTGTCACACGATGGGCTGTCCTCGTAGAAAGGTTTGATTGAAGTCAAAAATTGGCTGCTCAGGCCAGGCATGGTTGCACACACGTGTAATCCCAGTACTGGGCAGGGCGAGGCAGGAAGATAGCCATAAGACCGAGGCCAGTCAGGGCTTCATAGTGGGTTCAAGGCCAGGCTGCACTGCATAGCAGCGCTCTGGCTCAACAACAACAGAAACGAGTTTGTTACTCATTTCATGCAAGTGGTTTTGGTAAGTGTGACCCTCAGTGGCTACAGGAAGGGGTAGCAAGACACTTTGGTTCTTTGTCACATGGGCTTCTCTATAGGGCTACAGTTCAGCAGCTTTCTTCCTCCAAAGAAGGAGGAGCGGAGGGAGAGAGAGGAAGGGAGAAAGGGAGAGAAGAAGGGGGGGAGGGAGCGAGGAAGGGAGAGAGCGAGGAAGGGAGGGAGGGCCAGAGCGAGAGAGCTCTGACCTCAGAAGTAACATACCATCACACCATGATTTCTACTGCATGTTGCTGGTTGCAGCAACCAAATCTGGTAGAGAGTGGAGAAGGACAGGAGTGTGAACAGCAGGAGGCAGGGCTCTTGTGAACCATCATAGAGATCCCTAGCACACAATGTCTGGTGCTCAGCATAGCCTGTCTGGAAATCCAGTTGCCAGTACAGTGGTACCTCAGTTCACGAACTTAATTCTTTCCATGATTCTGATTGCAAACTCAATTGGATGAAAATAGAATCAAACTCAGTGGTATACCAGGCTCACCTGCTGCCGAAGGCAGACTCACAAGTCAGATTCATAAAAAGCTTTATCTTGA